AAAACAGAAGAAAAATAGTCGAAAAAAAGTAACAAGGGAAAAAGTGGCAAGTCCGACATCATTAAGGAAATACTTATGGACAGCAGTCCTTCAGATGATAGAATCCTGGATGATTTTTCTGGACAAAGCGGAAGAAATGTCTTCAAATGCTGACAACCCTGAAGAAGTTTCTGATATATCTGACAGCAGAGACGATAATTCAGATGTGCTTCATGTTGATATTGAAGACCGTGAATCTAGCCCTGTTAATTGGGAGACGGATGCTTCAGAAACTCAAGCTACAGTTCCTGGAAGTAGTGAGGTGCAAAATGACCATGCAGGGAAGAGGACCTCTACTGTGGATGATAGCTCATCGACTTGTTCATCAGACTCAGTCCCTTCAGTTACCGTGAATGGATCATATACAGGAGGTGCCTGGACAAGCGTCAGATCCTCATCCAATAGGTATATCTGTATGAGCTCCTCTATCTTACTATAGATTGGTATTGATCATGCTGTAGTATTGATCATGCTGTATTGTTGATTCAGGGAAACAACCGTAGGAATAAGGATACTGAAGCACGGGCAGGATTTGCACAAGGTGGATCAAGTTCGGCGCATAATGGTTTTATAGGATCTGGCAGCAATGCCTCTGGCCACTCAAAGGAAAGACATGAACCTGAGGTATACATATAATGCTTGTTTCATCGAGGATTTAAAATGTGCCATGAAGCAATCCTTTTTTTCCCCCTAATTCTTCCTTAAGATAAACTTGTGTTGTAGAAAAGTCTTCTCTTCCAGGTTTTTTTTTGCATCATCTATTTGTGTTCAACTTGGTTCAATAAGCATAAAAATTAATTCTTTGCAGGATGATAAAGTTGTCTTGCAGAGGAAGCAACATGCACAACGGCACATTGATGTCATTAGCCCCTCCAAGTCAAGAATGGCTGACTCTTCATTTTCTTCTGTGAGCCCTGTTAAGAAGCAACCTAACTTGTCTCGTCAACCAAAATTTTTGCTAGAAAGCACCAATAGTTTGAATCACCGCGCAAGCGAAGTTTCAGGCGCTGTGACTGCCACTACACCAGCAGGTGCCTCTTCAACCCCGGCAGCTCAGTTAGTTTCGAATAAAGGACCTGTATCCAGTGCTGCAACCCAGAATGAGAAGCCACTTCCAGTTACAAGTAGACCCCTGCAGGTGCTTGTACCATCCAAATCGGAAGCGCAGAAACAGGCTTCCCTAACTGGCAGTGCAACTACTCAGGTCGTTTCAGTATCAAGGCCCTTGAGTGCCCCACAGGTCCCCGCAGCAAAACAAAGTGCACCAGTCACTTCAACAGCTCAGAATGCACCTCTTCTTTCTCGTTCAATGAGTGCTGTTGGGCGGTTGGGAAATGAACCCTCTGCGAATGCTCCTAGTTTCATTCCCCGTTCACGAACATATCGCAATGCCATGATGGAGAAAAGTTCTGGTGGCGGAAGCAGTTTCACACATCAGCAAGGTTCATCCGAGCAAGCAGTTGCACCATCGCAATCGATGTTTACATCGCAACCTTCCGTTCTGTCATCAGAGACCTTGTCTAGGAAAGAGGAAACGTCATTGAGACCTGGGTTTACATTTGGGACTGTAAAGCCCGAGTCACTGAACCCATATCAGGGCAGAGAAGAGAACTCACAGCAAGCGAGCAGCAGCAGCAGCAACAGTAGTGATTGTACGCCATCGAGTTCGAACATCAGAAGCGAGATTGCGAAGCTCAATTTGAATGGAAGATCACGAAGCAAGCAACTGTTGTCAGAAATTTCTACCAGATTTACTCCCTATCAGCCACAAGGCTTGGTCGCTGATGAGTTCCCACACCTAGACATCATCAACGACTTGTTGGATGAGGAGCAGAGTGACAGGAGAAGGGTTCTTCAACCTGGTTTTGTTCAACAATTCTCTATGCCTAATGGTGCCAGCACACCTGATTATGGCTTGTTTGGTGAGCCATACTTGTTTGACCAGTCCGAGCAATACTTTGACGAGGAGCCTCCAAGGTTTTATAGTCCATTGAGCAGTGCTCCTCGGAGGCTGAGGGACCGGAGCTATTCACACTTTGATCTCCCTTCATACTCCAGCAGCAGCCAGTTTGATGATCTGATGATGAGTCAGTGGCCATACAGCCGCACTGACATCTCCATGCCTAGTTTTGGGTCAGACACAAGTGGCTACCCGTACCAGGCGCAGGATTTCCCGAGTTCAGCGAATGGAGCAAGCAGGTACCCATCGTACCGCCCTGCCAATGGGCATTGAGAGTTTTAGTGATTGCATTGATAATAATGTGTGGTCGAGTCCATGCTGTTCGCTTCTGAGCTGAGTGTAATTGTAATAGTTCCCCATAGCAGTGATATAAAGAATGGTTCCTCAGTTTCCTTGTTAAATCAATAGTTATATCCTTTTTCCCCTTTTCTATAGTTCAGTTTTGCCCAATGGTAATAAATCTAAGTCGGTTAAAATGATCTGGCTAATCTAGTCAATCGTGTTCTGAAATGTGTACGATGCAAGCAAATGGTAGGGTGTTTTTAAGCCATGCCAATGCTTGAGCTGATGCTACATTGACTGGGAGTATTTCTTGTTTCTTCCTCTGACGAGTGACGAGGTGTTATTGATCGTCTCGTGTTCTCTTTGTATATATCAGAGTAAATTCTGGGAATAGCCCATGGATATAAACTAATTATCTGTTGCACATTCTGAACTTTTGAAGGTATGGTTGATTATGCCATGGATGGATAAGCTATAAAGTAAAATGCGATAGGGTCACTGCGTTTTGTACCATCTTTTTATTTTCTCGAACTGTTTTGTGCCATCTTTTTTTTCTGAATGATCATGCCATCTTTTTTGGGTACAATGTACAAATAAATTTTTTGCTGTAACAAGCAAGACGTGTAAATTCATAATTTCTGTTCCAGTTTAGAAAGAATTATTATTGCTAGCATATCCAAATCTTGTGTAGGGTACAATTGGTGTTGCTGATGCTTTGTGTGTTCCACTTCCACATAAACTGAGAGCAACACCAGCCACATAATTTTTGTTCCAATTTAGGGGACTCATTATTGCTTGCGTATCCAAATCTGGTGTACGGTACAATTGGTGTTGCTGATGCTTTGTGTGTTCCACATAAACTGACATAAACTGAGAGCAACACCAGCCACCCAGGAATAGCGGAGAAATTCCCATTATCGGGCATAAAATAGTGATTGTAATTGATTCTTGTAACTATCGGCAAGACGGGGAAAATGACCTGCATCGAGCTTGAAAGAAAAATCTGCAGCGGACATAAAAAAGTATACTTGTTGAATCTAAAGAAGAATAAGAAAGTACTGCAGCAGGCTGACGCTGATCTTTTGCTAGTAGCAAATAGATTGGAGTTAGATCTAGCCTCATGAGAAATACGGCACTCATCAAATTGATTCTGAATCCGATCGACTTCCATCTCGCATCGTGTTCGTGTCCTCACAACTGGAGTCGAGCCAATCCAAGGATAGGTCTTGACTCATTGGCAATGAGGGCCTGGCATTGTACTTGAGCACAATAATATCCAATGGAAATTTTTCTATAGTAAAAATTCTTTACATGCAATTGGCACGAACTTAAATCCCTTATTGACCACCTAAAAAAACGTTATTCCCATAGATACTATTTGTGCTAAACTGTAATCCTTTCCATAGGTAATTGATTGAGTAAGCATATGAACATCCAGATGTTAGTATTGTTCTACTAGTTATTCTCAAATCATAGAGGTGATCAGCAATAAGCGAATGGGAGGCTCGGCTATGTGTTTTTCCTCCGTATTGTTCTCTACTAAAATATAGCAGCGAGTGCATAAAACAGCTATGCATGCACGCACGCAACGCTCCTTGTTTTGACTAGGCGTAGTAATGACTACTACCCTCGTTACGTCAGCCCGCACCTGTTGTGTTATTGTGGCCAAACCAAAAAAAAAAAAAGGTTGCCTGCCAGATAAAAGGGAACTGAGGGAGTAACTAGGCCTCAAATGAATAGATTTGTCTGAAGTTCCAACTTCTAAGGTTGCATATTAGTGAACTAATCTATATCATGCGTTTAGTTGGAAGACAAAATGATATTTTTGATGTACAGCCAAGACTATCAATATATGACTAGCAATGGCGTCAAAGAAATTAAAATATAACATATAGTGTGGCATTGATTAGACGACAGATAAGAATAAACTTTTAGCCAATGCCTAAAAATTTAGAATAGATAAACCAACCAAACTTCTATTTCTTTTAATTTTAAAGAAGGACAATAATATATTTGTTTGAGCCGAGAACCAAGAGAATTACCCAACACAAGTTGGGTACCCAAAAAGCCCAACTCCATGGATGGCAAATCGGGAAATGACCCAGCGATCCGCAGCCCGGAGGCCCTGGCTTTGACCTAAATACCCCTCCCCCGTCCGGTCTCATCTCCTCCTCCCCCGCCGCCCCCCGTCTTCCACCATTGCCCCTCGCGGCCTCGCCTCGCCTTCCCCAATTTCTTTCCACGCCTCTTCCTCTCTTTGCCCTCGAGCCGCTTCCCTCCCTGCCCCTGCGCGGCCTTCAAATCCACCCGCTGTTTCCCCGCCCTCCCTTGGCGCGCAGCTCCGGAGCGCCGGGCGCCGCGGCGCCGTGCGGTGGGTGGGCTCTGCTTCTTGGTACTGGCCCGTCGGTCCCGTCGCTCTCGCGGCGATTCCGAATTTCCGATTGCTTGCTTGCTGATGGCTGTGGCTACTCCCGGTGCGATGGCTGCGTGAAGGTTGATTGGGTCTGTCTCCTGTCGGCGACGGGATTGGATCTTGGCGAGGTTCCAGAAGCCGAATTGCTCTGCTGCTGTGTCTGTTGGGAGTGGATAGCCGCCGGCGCCGCTGCGATTTCCTTTCCGGTGAGCTTTCGCGATGCTCCTACCTTTGTTCCTGGATCTTGTCCCCCATGGGTTTCATCGCCTTTCAATTCGACTCATTTGGTTGATGCTCTTTGCTGTGTCAGGCACTCTGTTTCTTGGCGTGGTGATACGCAGATATGGCGAGCCACGAGCTGGTCCTTGGGCACGGGCAGGACGCGGAGCTGGCGCTGGGGTCGAGCCACCACGACTTCGGCCAGGACCACGGGCTGGGTCTCGGCCACGCGCACGACTCGACCTCGGCGGCCACGCGCACGATCACGAGCTCGTCCTGGGCCAGTCGCACGAGCACGACCACCAGCTCGTCCTCAGGCACCACCACGATGACGACCACCAGCTCGTCCTCGGGCACGACCATCACCACCACCACCACCACGGCCACCACGCCGGCGAGCTGGCTCTGAGGCAGGGCCATGAGGGGACTCTGGGGCACTGGAACTGGAAGTGCAGGGCCAGCACCATGACGAGCTTGACTTGTCGGAGAGCCACGAGCTGACGCTTGCCGAGACGCACCACCTGGGCGTTGATCAGAATCTTGACCAGCTCTCACTCGAGCAGGCTCATGAGCTCGCGCTGCAGCCACATGATCTCTCCCAGGGTCCTCTTGCGGTCGCTCCTGTTGTCCAGTCACGGACCATGGTTGTGAGCCCTGAGTTTCAGCTCACAGTGGGGCAGGAGTTTCCAGACGTTATGAGCTGCCGCAGGGCCATCCGCAACACTGCCATCGCCTGCCACTTTGAGATACAGACGGTGAAGTCTGACAAGAGCCGCTTCACCGCTAAGTGTGCTGCTGAGGGCTGTCCGTGGCGTATACATGCAGCAAAACTCCCCGGTGTGCCCACCTTCTCCATCAGAACCATACATGACAACCACAGCTGTGTGGGGATCAACCATCTTGGCCATCAGCAGGCATCTGTTCAGTGGGTTGCAAACACGGTTGAAGAGAGGCTCCGTGAGAACCCACAATGCAAGCCCAAGGAAATTTTGGAAGAAATCCACAAGGCCCATGGGATCACACTATCCTACAAGCAAGCTTGGAGAGGTAAGGAGCGGATCATGGCTGCGGTTCGAGGGTCTTTTGAGGAAGGATACCGTCTCCTGCCTGAGTACTGTAGGCAGGTGGAAAGAACAAATCCAGGAAGTATAGCTCGAGTCTATGGGAACCCAGATGACAATTGCTTTCGGCGACTCTTCATATCATTCAATGCATCAATATTTGGTTTCGTCAATGCATGCCGTCCACTTATTGGGCTTGATAGGACCCTTCTGAAAAACAAGTATCTTGGTACCTTGTTTCTTGCCACTGGTTTTGATGGGGATGGTGCTCTCTTTCCTTTGGCATTTGGCGTGGTTGATGAGGAAACTGATGATAACTGGGTGTGGTTCTTGTCTGAGTTGCATGAGTTGCTGGAGAAGAACACAGAGAACATGCCAAGGCTCACCATCCTGTCAGATAGACGGAAGGGCATTACTGATGGAGTTGAATTCAACTTCCCAACTGCATTCCATGGGTATTGTATGCGTCATGTTAGTGAAACCTTCAAAAAGGAGTTCAACAATCCAGTGCTTGTCAACCTTCTCTGGGAAGCTGCTCATGCACTGACTGTGATAGAGTTTGAAACTAAGCTGCTAGAGATAGAGGACACGTCACCAGAAGCTGTTGTTTGGATAAGGCACTTACCTCCTCGTCTTTGGGCCACAGCTTACTTTGAGGGATAAGGTACGGTCATCTAACAGCAAATATCACAGAGTCACTAAATTCCTGGATACTGGATGCCTCTGGCCTTCCTATAATTCAGATGATGGAATGCATCCGTCGCCAGCTGATGACTTGGTTCAACGAGCGACGCGAAGCAAGCATGCAGTGGAACACAATCCTTGTGCCTGCAGCCGAGCGCCGGGTGCAAGAGGCCATTGAGCGTGCACGGGGCTACCAGGTGGCCCGGGCCAACGAGGCGGAATTCGAGGTCATCTCAGCTCACGAGGGAACAAACATTGTGGACATCCGCAACAGGTGCTGTCTGTGCCGGGGGTGGCAGCTCTATGGCGTGCCGTGTGCCCATGGTGTGGCGGCGCTCCTCTCCTGTAGGCAGAACGTCCACCGCTACACCGAGAGCTGCTTCACGGTGGCAACATACCGCAAGACATACTCGCAGACCATACACCCGATCCCAGACAAGACCCTCTGGAATGAAACGGCAGATCATGAAACAGCAGATCAAGGACAGGCTGACGAGATCAAGGCGCAGATGATCATCAACCCACCGAAGTCGCTGAGGCCCCCAGGACGTCCGAGGAAGAAGAGGGTACGAGCGGAGGATCGCGGGCGAGTCAAGCGGGTCGTTCACTGCAGCCGCTGCAACCAGACTGGACACTTCAGAACCACATGTGCTGCTCCAATATGAACAATGGCATGATGATGGTGCAAAATACCACTGCAACCACTTGAGAACTTCTTTGTTATTATTAATTATAGCTGCAGTATTCCTGTGACAAGATAGTGTCTACTTGTGCAAGTTTCTTGCTTGCAGATGGTCTTCTTTGGTTATTATACTTGGCTACTGCTGTTGTTCTAGCATTAGTAGTTGAATAATGTTAATTTCAAGTTTGTTTCATAGCACTGGAAATCTGCAATGACTTTTTTTTTTAAATACCATCAAAAGAAACTGTGTAAAATACTGGTCCAAAGATGGCATTGTCTTCAGTTTAGCAAATCCCAATTTTGGCAAACGGTTCCGGGGGAGGAGCAACGTGTCGTTTGCGGCCTGGTATAAATAATACATAAGTCAAAATAATTGCTGCTTGTTCTTCTAATTTTGTCACCAAATTTCTTTTGCTCAGATCTTTCAAATAGCTGTGGTTACTGTTATGCTGTATTTAATCCCTGAAGAGAAAACTTAAGACAAAACGTAAGCGCAGCAACATCAGATTCTGACAAAATTCCTACATCGATGATACATGTACATTCTGCATGTTACAATACACAAGTTTCTTGTAATAACCAAAAAAAGGAGAGAACAAAATCAGCTCACCATTTACAAACTACATCAACGATCAGTACAAAATCAATCATATGCTCGGGGTCAGCTGAGCTTCCGCTACTTGTGGTGTCTGAGTGTCTAACCCGGGAAACTGGCCGATATCATGTCCTTCAACTGCATTTAGGTCCTCGTGCAGACCAATCGCAAACTCTTCAGGTCGATCTCCGTTGCTCACAAAGTAGTCAGCTATCTGAATTATCATCGCAAAAAAGAAAGCTATCTGCATTAGCAATTGAACTAACATTTATTTTCTTTTAGTCAACTATAATAAGCTTCTTATCAGCGACAAAGATGTGCTATAGAATGTTCTAAAAATAGCAAAGGATATCTGAATTTTACATGGTTTGCGAGCGACATCCCGCTTAAAACAGCCGCTTCTATGCTTGAACCAGTAAGCCAGTCACCGCAGATGCCTGCTCGCCCTAGGGGATCAAATATGCATGAAACTCCTGGAGTGTTCATGGGCAGAGCTGCACCCCTGTGATTTCAACGATAATTCGTACTCGTGTTTTAACTTAATGGAGAAGTAGAAGTATAAAAGATATAAGGAATGGATTTGTTATACCATAACTGCACTCTTGTGTAAATTGGTTGCTGAAGAGATCCTTTGGATAACCCTAAAGCATGTTCTACTCCTCCAAGCATGTCTTCCTTCACCTTTTCTGCCGTGACTTTTGGGATATTTTCCTGAAATTAACAGCTTAACCCATTTGAGACGTCAACTGATAAAGCTGAAATAACTTGGAATCTTTATTCTGTCTGTCAAGCAATCAATACTGGGGGGGTGCAAGTGCAACAAAATGACATGACAAGAAAAACTGAAAAATTTCAGCAAACAAGACCTGTGGGACTTTGTTTCTTTTTCCATAAGCAGCAGTACTGAAAAGTGTCCAGCACTCAGGTGTGCCTGTCTGCATTGGAAAAAGTTTGCGGGTATTGTTGCCCATCCAAGAGAGAGAATCGACATCTCTCACAAATGCTCCTTCAAATGCTCCATGAGAATCAATACGTGGAACTGGAAGAGGATCTTCAAATGCCGCAAGGAGTGCCCAGACAGAACTGAGCTCTAGTCTCTGATCATTGATTGAATGAAACATGGTAAGAAATAGGAATTAAAGGATATATGCCTCATGAGTTCAAAATTATTTGCAATAGTAAAACCATGAAACCTTCATTTGTTTTGTTAGTAATGGCAATCCTGATGTAGAGAGCAGACGGTTGGCACATTTCCTGATCAATGTGTAAGATGTCATTTAGATGATAGGGTGAATGTACAAATATGGACGTGTCGCAAAACAAAAGGTTATCATACCAATGTGATAATTGGGCAATATTTTTTTACCATTTGTGCTATTATTTTATTCAATAATGTAGGCCATCGGGGTTGCATAAAACATGTGGAGCTATAGAGAAAGAACATAATTGAAAAGTCTGAACTTCAGAAATTTACTGCCTAACTTTCAAAAACTGAGCAAAAATATGTAACCATGCTTTGGCTACAGAAACAGTATTTTCCCCATTAGAAAGGAGTTTGTACTGACCGTTATGAGCTATCACAATGGCATCGTATTCACCACGAGGCTTTTCATTCTCAAACAAGCGCCACAAACCATTGAACGGCTCAAGTTTGCTTATCCAACAAGGCCTCAAAACTTTAATCATATCAGTCTGCAGAATGCATCATGCGACTCAGCAATTGGATTACCATTCATCAGCCAAGTGAAGAACTGAACATAACTCAAAGGTTCAGCAAACCATTGAGTTTTAACTTCATGTTACTTGGATTGAACTCTGAGAACAAAATCAGGACAAGTCTCTAGAGGAGGATATGATGTGCAATGTTTGGTGAATTCATGGTTAAAGCAACTGGATAGCAATGAATATGGATCACTTCATACTACTACACAACACTTCCATGGAGCTTGAATAAGGTGGAGTTAATCAGATATACCTCAGGCAGCATTGCATCTGCAAGTGGGCGCATCCCATTCACACCGATGTACCTCGGTGTCAACGAATGTATCGGCCTGAAACGGCCACCGGCTTCGAGCTCGCCGACCAAGCCACTCCACTCACGGACCAGCCCACTGTCGAGCCACTCGTCGACCAGCCTCTGGAACCTCTCGTCGCTCGCGGTGAAGAACTGCGCCGCGTGGTCGAACACCAGCTGCTCGCCGCCGTCGACGAACCTAGTCGCCATCCTGCCCCCCAGGCCGTGCATCCCCTGCATCAGCAGCGAGCCTGTGCGGTGAGCCACTGAGCCTCCCGCGCTAGTGGATGGTGTGGAGGCAGGGGAGGGGAGGCAAACGGGAGCGATACGAACCGTGTCGAAGACGACGGAGCGGACGCCGCGGGCGGCGAGGGCAGACGCGCAGGAGAGGCCGGAAGCGCCGCCGCCGATGACGGCGACGGTGGGGTCGGCGGGGACGGGGGTGGAGAACACGACCTGCTCCTGGTGGAAGCTCTTCTTGATTGCCGAACGCCGCGAGAACCCGGGCTTACCGCGCCGCCCCCGCCGAGGGGCCGCCCTCGGCGGAGTCGCGCCTCCGCTGCCGGAGGCGGCCACCACCCTGGCGAGGTGGGCCACCGGGAGCGCGGTGGCAGCGGCGGCGATGGGAGGCGGCGGCATCACACTGCTCGACGAAATGCGGGAGCGCTATTGCGCGAACGGCGAACCGGACCGTTATCTGTTTATTATACGGGGTTGGATTTCTCTTCTTCTTCAACGACTGATTGCAGTGGATGAAGTGAACCATCCGATTGTAACAGATACCTGATATAATCCATCACTCGATCCCAAAATAATTGCATTTCTAACATTAAAAGTACTTTCGAGATAAAAAATAAAATAAAAAGTACTTTTAGTTTATAGATCACCTAAATGCCAAGAAGGTTTACTACTCGTGATATCGATCGTGAATTATAAGCTGGAATAGTATTTTTCTCTAACACCAAACCAGCCAATAGTAAATAATCCACGAGGCTGTGTATTGACGGGTATAGTTTCAATTTCATAGTAGTATTGATATTTCTCCCACGTCCTAGAAGTGTATTTGTTTTAAGATGGAGAGCATTTTTGCTAGCATTCTTTGGTCCTGACTCCTATCGGTGCCACGTTCAATTTCTCATCAATTCGATTTGGATGCTTATTTCTTTTTTACAACCAATAAAGTTCACATAGTTTCTCTTAGTTTGACCAATATTTCTTTGCAATGTCGAATATTTTTTCCTCTTGAGGATATGCTCCATCAGTGTACTACATCTGTCCGCAAAAAAAATCAAATTCTAAATGTATTCTTTGTCAAAGTACCTGAAGTTTGATCAAATATTAATCAGCCTATTCGCTTGGTCGTAATTAGTTTATAAGCCATGGCTTATCAGCCAACGAACATTATTTTTCTCTCATACTAAACCAGCCAATAGTATTTTCAGCCATGACTTATAAGCCAAACAAGCCCAAATGAATAGGGCGAATGTTTATAACGTCAAATAAGTATATTATGAACATGTTTCATGATGAATATAATGATATTTATTTAGTAGATAACATATTTAAAAATTTCTAATACAAATGTAATTAAACTTATCATACTTTAACGTAACATTGTCTAAAATTATATTCTTTTGAGACGGAGGGCGTATCTGATTACACCTCTCTAATTTAATACAGTATCTAGTACTCGCTCTTTGCCTCCGAAGATTACGGAGTTGATGTACTTTGATCTTTGTTAGACATTCGGCATGCAGGTGGCAGTGACATCATTGTTGCATGCGTCACATCACAATATATTTTTATCACATACAGGTGGCAGTGATGGCACGTGGGGAGTCTCTGCTCTGGCTGCCTCCACTTCTTATTCACATGCACGCAGCCCGCAACCGCAGCAGGTGGCTACGCCAACATTCAGAAGAGAGGAAGGGACAGCGGATGCTTAGCCGACGTCGGAAGGAGGAGACACCGAGGCAAAGGTAAGACAGCAGAAAAGCGAAGACAGATCCACTTTTGAAATATCAAAATAAAACACTTGCAATATATGTCTGAAGGCACATGAAATAAATGAATCATGCATCTGAAACACTAGCTGCAACACCAGATCTACTTTTGAAATATCCAGATAAAACACTTGCAACATACATACGAAACAGCTGAAACATTCGAAACATGTGTATTAAACATTTGCAAAAAAAACACCTGAAAACACTTCATATGTGTGAAAAACATATGCAACATCTAAATGAAATACTTGCAAACGTACATATGGAAATGAGATGAAATATTTGAAACATACACTAATAACATACGTGTATAGCCACCGCAACATGTGCAACATTCCGATCTATTTTTGCAACATCAAGATGAAACACTTGCAACATCCAGATAAAACATCCGAAACATACTCTTGCAACATGGCTTTGTTTGGACGAATGGAGGCATGCTTGGTCTTTGAGGTCGACAATGACGCATGGACCTCATTGTCAGGCGGCAACACACGGCAACTTCGTCGACGGGCGCGGCGTCACACGAATCTTGTCCCCCTCGCCTGCTTGCTGGAGCATCCGCCGTGGAGGCTCATCGGCTCTGTGGAGGTGGTCGTGGCGGGTGGGCCGGCCGTGGCGAGGAGGCATCGCGATGGAGACGGGTGAGGCAGACTGGGCCTGATGAGAAATGTGACGCGGAGGAGGCCGCAAGGGATGGGGCGCGACGGCGGCGAGACAGAGTGGGGTGGGCGGATGGGCACGGCAACATAGGAGGAAACGCCGCAACGAGCATCAAGGCGCCAGACGGAGATTCCAAGCGGCTAGGGTCATTGGACGACGGCGGCGTCTTGGGAGTGAGCGGAGGAAGATGTCTGGACGAACGGACGTCTTAATTGTATTATTATCAATATTTTTAAGATTTATAGTTGAGAATGTTGTGTCAACCTCTAAAGAAACCAGTTTGCCTAGAAGTTATTTGAGAAAATTCCGTGTGTGCCATTGAATGATTCCATAATTCCGGGCAAACCACTGGATCTTTGATTTGGACATGAGTGCCATTAAAATTAATTTTACGTTCCATGAGTGCCACTTGCCACAAGACCGTTAGGTTTCTCCACCGTCAACTAGTGTGGAGTCTCTTAATTTTTTCAAAATCCCAATTTTACCCCTGCCCTTTGGGTGAACTTGGCGTAGTCAATATCTCGAGTCCCCTCTGACATAAAAAACCCGTACCTATCCCACACTCACCGTCTGAGACTGACTGGAAACATCGACTCCCCAAAAAAAAGGAAAACAAAGAGGAAATCCCGTCCACACGGCCTTCGCTCAACCTGTCCGCGCGGCCTCCGCTCCCTCCTACGGCGCCTCCACGCCCGCCACGCCACACAGACGCCTGCTGACCGCCACGGCCACGCGCCATACACGGGGAGCCAATGACCCTGCCTCCCAGCGTCGTCCCACGTCCTGCCAAAACCTCGCTTGCCCGTCCACGACCCAGGTCGCCCATGCCGCAGCACAGTGGTCCGAGCCGATTTAGCCACCCGCCGCTCCTCCCCATTCCAGTCCCTCAAAGCCTCGCAGTGCAGGCCGGCGGCAGACAATGGGCCACGGAGGAGAAGCCATTCGCCTGCCTTGTCTCATACCGCCACGGTTCGCAGTGAGTACCCTTTCTTCTCCTCTCCGCCGGTGACTCCGTGTGACTTCTTGGCATTGTTTGTCCTTCCTGTGGACAAAGCAAGCATGAAGACCCATTTTCTGTATTTTCTGTGTCCTTGGTGTCTTTGTGCGTTGCGTGTGTGCCTAGCCATTCATGTTACATGCATTTTAGGTGCTCGATAAAATGCCGCTTACAAAGAGAAAAAAACCGGCCACCACAGAACCAAGAGGCTTTGTCGTGGTGGTCTACCGGGTTATGCCACCTTTGCCACTCTACATACATCTATTGGACACGGCATGCTCATGTTCGCGCTTGGCGTGGGGTTACCTGCTAGTTAATTTGATGAATTTGGGTTTCTTGTACCTTCGTAGGATAGTGAATTTATGCGGCAAACATCTTGCTTCTAAATTACCAACTTATATATACCAATATACCACAATAATAAAAAAAAATACAATCTGTCCGGACCTATTGGATACGAGCTATGCTTCTAAACATTTATGCCTTCCAGTATCCCGGACCGTGGTGGGCGGCATGGCGCCACCGGAACCAGAGCCATGTCGCCCGGGTGAGTGGCTTCGATGGGTAAGTAATTGTGTTCTATCTTGGTTTCTTGTTGTGTTGAACCCTAGATAGCTTCCGATTTGATACCGCGTTCATCTCAGAGGGATGGATCCAAAAACAAGTTTCTTCCTTGATATGAAATTGTTTGGTAACAATACTAGAGTGGAGGGTGGTGGTATAGTACCAAAGAAAGGTTGTAGACAATGACTATACTAATTTCGAGGACTTCGTTGATGATATCTTGCATTCATACCCTAAAGGCTACGATGATGTTGTCAAACCTGTTCTACCTTGCCGATGAATCCCATGTAGAAATCGTAATGACGAGGAGCCGCTTGCAATGTTTGCTAAGCATGAGAGCTCTAAAGTCATCCGCATGTCCATTGGCTACTTTGATACTAGGAAGCCACATGTTCCTCCTCCCGATTGGAACATATCCAATGTTGTTATTTCGATGTTGTGCCTTGTACACCTTCTTTGCCACAAAACCCTCCTCTCAAAGCTATCACACAAGGCACCCAACCTACAAAATCTGATTCCCATGGTACCCAACCTACTGAAACAACTAATGACACATTGGACACATATCTTGTGAATCCTTTCCCACAAAATGAGCATCTTTGGAGATGATGATGATGATGATGATGAGGGTGATCATGAAACCGCATGTCCTACACGTACCAACGCCTAAAGGAGACTATGTGCCCACTCGATTACGAATCGGGGCTATGGAACCGACGATGCCTCATCTGATGAGGAGCAAGCAGGACCCACCCCACCTATAGAACCAGAAATTGTTTATGATGTTAATGACCCACCAATGGTAGTAGGCAGCATTTATCCCAACATGAATGTGTTTAAGTTGGCTATTGCTCAGCATTCAATCAAGCATGAGTTTGAATATAACACTGAGAAGAGTGATCCAGGGAGGTTTAGGGCACATTGCTCATCCAAATCAGAAGGGTGTCCGTGGAGGATCCATGCATCAACAATGCAAGACAAGGTTACAGTAAAGGTAAACGCGAGTCCTTTCCAATTTTTTTACATATTTATGATGCTAACGACATTGCTGGTTTTGTTTGACAGGTGAAGAAAAACCCCGATGATCATAATTGTGAGAGTAAAAGGAGGAAAGGAAACGTGCCGCAAGCCACTCAGTTTTGGGTTTGTGAGAAGGTTAAGGATTGGTTAGTGGAAGATGCTAGCATTGGACCTAAGGAACTACAGAGAAGGATCAAAGATACACATAAAGTTGTTGTGTCATATAAAAGGGTTTTTTATGGTAAAGAGTTGGCGCTGAAACAATTATTTGGTGATTGGGACACTAGCTTCAACAACCTATACAGATTCAAAGCAGCAGTTGAAGAGGCATGTCCTGGCAGTTTAGTCGTCATAGATCACTACACCATCGAGGAGAAGATCAGGTTTAGAAGGCTGTTTTTTGCACTAAAACCATGTGTCAATGGTTTTCTTAGAGGATGTAGGCCCTATTTGGCTGCTGATAGCACATTTTTGACTAGTAAGTTCAAGGGTCAGCTAGCAGTAGCTTGTGCAGTAGATGGGCACAACTGGATGTATCCAGTTGGACTTGGAGTGTTTGACTCAGAGACCACTGAGAATTGGAGTTGGTTTTTTCAGCAACTCAAGAATGCTATAGGCACACCACCAGGATTGTCGATATGTACTGATGCAGGTCAAGCAATCATGGCATTTGTAGTCATTGTTTTCCAAATGTAGAGCATAGGGAGTGCATGGTGCATTTGGTTAGTAACTTTAAAAAGAGGTATCATGGAAAGGTATTTGATAAGAACTTGTGGCTCTTTGCATATTCTTAGAATTCATACTATTTTAACAAGCATTGGCATGAAATGGTCAAGCTAAACTTCTTTGCGAGTTGAAGTATCTAAGGCAAAATCACACCAAATTGTGGACCGTAAGCCGCCAACTCTGTCTAAGGTAGATTATGTCACTAACAATCTAGTGAGAGCTTCAACAAGCTGGATCAAGAGTGAAAAAGATCGAACTTAGATGATCTTATGGACGTGATCGGACAAAAGCTCATGGTCAAGTGGAATAAAAGGAGGAAAATTGCACGAAAAGATGGAAGGCAAGATATTACCCCATATTGTGAAAAACCTAAAGGAGAGGAGCATAAATTTGGATATGGATGTGCTTGAAGGTTCGGATGAAATTGGAGAGGTGATAAGGAGGGGTGGCTCGGGGTTTCGTGTATGCTAATTACCTTCTTTGGTTTTATTTTAATTAATCTAAATCCTTGTTGGTCACATGTTTATGATGCTAATTACCTTGATGGTCTTATTTTAATTAAACTGAATCCTTGTGGTTACATGCTTATGATCTGGTATGCTATTAACCTTAAGGAGAGAACTTGTATGCGTCTTGAGAGAGTGGCAAGTTTCAGAAAGCCTTGCAATCATGCAATTGCTATGATCACTTCTATTAGAGGTCGAATCTTGAGGATCACGTGGACTCCTACTTCTCGGTTGACATGTTCAAATCAAGCATATGAGGAGGCAATTCCAGCTTTGCGGATAAGTCTCGATGGCTTTGAGTCTCAAAGATGGTTTCTTCATCGTCCACCACCGCTCAAATCAACTTCGGAAGGAGAAAGACACAGAGGCATAAAAGCAAAGGTCTTGAAGGTGGGCAAGGTAGAAAAGGGAGGCACCAGTGTCCAATTTGCAAGCAACATGGACACCACTGGTGGACTGCAAAGATGGTGATCCAGAAGACAAAGGCGCCATGCTTGCGTACCGGTATTATCAAACTTCATAACTCTTGCAACCTCTATTTATATTTCTTGTAAATCTTTATTTTTCAATTCTTGTAATGAAAAATGAATAATGTTGTAGAGGCCCTCCAAAATCTAAGAAGAGAAAAACAAATGAACCTACAACAGAATTGAGCATTGATGCACCCTCTCTACAATCTGCACCAACAATGACATTCCCTCCCGAGACACCAAATGAGTTGGCTGCACTTGTTACCAAGAAAAGAGGACACCATCATCATCAAGCTCAATCAAGTAAGTAACCTAACATGTAATTCGTTTTCAGCTACATTGAACCAACACTAAGACATAGAATGTTGCTCATTGAGCATTACTTAACACCTAACTTCCATACTATTGCCCTCATTACAGGGATGTCGTGGTCCGGTTCCAACCAACTTGAACCAATGGCCGCAATCATGCTTCCAACTACAGAGAAGGCAACTAAAGGAAAGAGGGCCAAGTCCAAGCTTGTGCAGATAAGAAGGCGGCGCCTACTCCTCAAGATAGCCCAAATGATGTGCACTAGAAGCAAAATAGATCATTCCACTCCTGGAGCCCGGCATTGTGCACTAGAAGCAAAAGGAATCTAGATGTCTAATTGCTGTGTGTTCTCTTTTGCATGAGATTGTGGAATGTCTCATCTTCTTTTGGATATTATATATGTGAGACTGCCATGTTGGCTGTGTAAGACTTATGTACGTAGCACGTAGCACTTATGTAAGAGTTTGACATTTAGACTTGGAATGTCAACCTATGTTATTCTCATGTTATATTAGTGTTTGTTAGACTTGTTATATCTCTCTGTACAATTTTCTTGTGTCACTTTATGTGCATTTAGATGATATGCTGCAGAAATTTATATAAATATTAATCCTTTCCATTTTTTATGTACATGTTTATGATACTAATTACTCTATGTCCATGTATTTATGTCAGCCAAAATACGACATAACTCATGTAGTGGCACACATAGAATGTGAATTTTGCTGCACATCTATGAAGGAGGGGCATAAGTGTCTTTTTAACCTGGAGATAACTGTTGTTTGCTGCACTACAGACGGCAGTGGCACTCATGGAACGAAAAAACAATTTCAATGGCACTCATGTCTAGATCAAAGATTCAGTGGTTTGCCCGGAATTATGGAATCATTCAATGGCACACACGGAATTTTCTCAAGTTATTTGAGACGTGGATGCTGATTTTAGTTCCCTAACATAAACCAAGCTATTCAGAAATATAACGCTCGGTGTCAGATTGATTAATGGGGGAGACGCCAATTCTTTGGCTTTCCACTTCTAGTCTTTGACTTTTCCCCCTTTTTCTATACCTTTGTGATGATTTCAACAACTTGACACAAGCTAAGCTCAATTAATAAGCAAAGAAATGCTTAGCCGTTGACACCCGGAGTGATGTGCTTCAACAATCGTGCAGATAATCACAGCTTTAAGCCGAAGATCCAGCGGCTCAGGGCCACGAGCGCCGGCTCCTCCTCGCCCTCAACGCGGCGTGGCGCCTCCGTGTCCCAGGGCTCGTCGCGCCGGTTACCCTGGCTCCAGCGCCCAGAGAGAAACGCCGACGCCGACTTGGCCACCGCCGTGGCCTCCGGATCCCACCGTGTCGAGTCGTCGTCGTGCCGGCGGCGGTCAAGGCTCAGCCGCCCGGAAAGGGACGTCGCCGAGGCGGCGACGCGGTCGAGGTACTCGCCTAGCCACCCGCGGGACCCCACCGCCTCCGCCAGACCTTCGTCGGGGGCTGCGGCCGCCGGCCTCGCCGCTGCTGCCGCGGGACGGACGATGCGGAACACGATGGCCTCGACCTCCTCGTCGACGCGGTAGTCGAAGGAGCCGCCGAGCGAGTAGGTGCGCCGCTCGTCGCCGCCGCCCGCGGCGGCGGAGGAGCGGCGGTTGCTGACGCTGCCGAGCTCGACACGGAAGCTCCTCCTGCTGCTTCTCGCCCGCGTGCCGAGCGGCTCCTGATGATCCTGGTCCCCTGCGGCGGTGGCGGCGACGGGGAGGGGCGGGAGCGGCGGGGACAAGACGGCGCTGCGGCAGATTGGGCAGACCGGGTTGGTGCAGAGCCACGCGTCGATGCAGGCGGCGTGGAACGCGTGGCGGCACGCCGGGAGGAGCCGCAGCTCGGCGCTGGCTTCGAACGGCGAGAGGCAGACGGCGCAGTCCGGGGAGTTCTTCGGCAGCGCCGCCAGCGCTGACGCCATGGTGAACAAGGGCAGCGACGCGATGAGGCGCTCCGTGTCGGTGTCGTCGTCCGTGTCTGCTGCCTCCGGCTCCGCCTGCTCCCTCACCGGATGCACCTCCTCCTCCACCGCCGCGGCGATCATCCTCGCCGGCCCCGCCTCCCCGCCGTGCCTGTGTCCGCCTGATCATCCCTCCCCGCCAGGACGCCCGGTCGCCTCGCCACCCCTCCCGCGCGTCGTGGATGCCTATGCGACGAGGACGCGGCCCATCGGCGGAGGATGCAGCGGAGCAGCAGGATCGCGGCGACAGCAACCACCAGCAAGCCAAAGACGATGAGCAGCGCGGACTTGAGCGAAGGCGCCGCCGTCGGAACGGTCTCGCGGGCGTCGGCGGTGGCCAGCGGCGCGGGCGGCGACGCCACTGTGCCGTGTGCCGAGAACGAATTGGCGGAAGCGAATGGAATAGGAATGGCGGAAGGGACTTAAATTTCAAACGCCGTGGCACATTTGGTTTGGAATTGGAAAGCAGAATTTCAGATTCCATCGGAAATTATCTGCTGCTAATATAGCACAAATTAGTTGAGTTAATTCAGGTGGTTCATGTATTGTTTCCCATGAAAATGCTCCTTCAAATACAGCAATGAGTGCCTACACAAAACTAAGTTCTAGTCTCAGCTCATGGAAGGTGTGTAGTAAGGCCATGTTTAGTTGCCTCAAATTCTAAAATTTGGCACTATGCAAAAAGAAGATTCCCCGTCACATCAAACTTGCGGTACATACATGGAGTACTAAATGTTGATGAAATAAAAAACTAATTGCACAGTTTGGTTGTACTTTGCGAGACGAACGTTTTGAGCCTAATTAGTCAACGATTGAACAATTATTACCAAATAAAAACAAAATGCTACAGTGTAGCTACAGTGTCCATTTTCAGACGGCGCCGAATCAGGCAGCGAACTAAACGCGGCCTAAAACTCAGCAACGGATTGGAGGAAACAGTTACAGTCCACATCCCCTGAGTTTCGGACTCGTGCAATAGAACCTTCATGTGTCTTGTCAGTCATCGACTCATTGTAAACCCAACGTGTTCCATAAGCAGACAGATAAGATCACTGTAAACTAATCGTAACCCAACTGATTTAAAAACTGATATTTTGTACAAGAACCAACCTCCTATAGAAATAGAAATCTTGCTGGAAGCCAAACACAATATTTTGTTCAGGATTGGCAGCAAAAGAAAAAATGGTACACTTTCCAGTAATTTAGCTAGATTTTATATGTTTGTCATGTGTAGATGTCTGATGTCATAAATCAAAGATGACTGGTTCCCCAGTGTAGTACTTAGCAATACATTTTTCACAATTATGCAACTTTACTCAACAACCCAAATAATTAAGGCGGTTCTAGATATGTAAGCTATATACAAAAAAGGTGCCAGACTGCAAAAGGCTCAATTCCAGAATTTTGCTGCCTTCGTGGCAAGGATATTCACCAGCTATATTTCTACAACATGTGTTTTGTTAAATGTTTGGCTCATAAGATAGGAGTGACATTGGGAAGTAAAGATCACACCAGTTGATGCTTGGAAAGCTGTTTTTTTTACAACATTCTTGGAAAGCTGTTGAGACTGCTTGATGCAGAATGCTTGAAGAAGAACAATATATTAGCGACAAGAACATGTGGCAAGCACTTCTTGGCTATTTCCTCATATATTTCACCTAAAATTTCTTTTTCGATTTTCAGAGAAACAACATTGATGATGATTTACTAGATATCTTTACAAAGAACATAATTCAAATTTTCTAGTCAAGCGTCTAGCCAAATAATATGGGGAGAACATTGAAAGAATCTTTCATACAAAATCTTAAAAGTATTAAAATACCAGAATACCTAAGTTGTAAGCCTCATGGTTATATACATCATACACATTCTGCCTTTTATGCCCACATTAAATGCATATAAGTTTGTAGTTGATAAACTTTTTTATTTGAGATCATTTAGAGGCCCAATCTTTAGAAAATTTGATACAAATATTGATATTGTTTTCTATAAATCTAATCTAACTTTAATTAAAAAAAATTGATATGAATGTTGATATTGTTTTCAATAAATCTAGTATAGCTTAAAAATTTGACTTCTCAAAAAGCGATGTGTGCATTTTTTTTGGGGGACGGTGGAGGGATTACTCATCATCCAGCAAGGCAGCAAGCACTGACAGAAGTAAATATATGTAATGTAATGCATTGCCATCACTTTAACCCTATCCTACTATCCGACAACACTGACAGAAGTCGACCGCCCTGCTGCAGGCACCCTTTGTAGGACGGCGCTGTGGGTACGTGGTCTCTTCTCTTGCTCTGAGGAATTCCACGGCACCCAAACCCTGAAAAATATGACGAAGTAGTGCTTGTTGATCTATCAAATTATCTTGACAGCTTTTTTTTTAATTATCTTGCCAGTCCTGGCAAATCACCGAAAACCATAAGATAATAACTGCTATCTCATATTGGATGAATCCGATTCATATACAATGCCCCTTACATCTTTGAGGACATTTCCAGAATTCCAGTGAATTGTTCACCTATTAAGCACACTACGATGAAGGCATCCAGATCACGTTGCCTCGGGGAAACAGTTGGTGTCGGATTCATAAATCTGGATTCCTCATGGACCGGCTTCCCAGCAAAGGCTCGGCCAGCAAACGATGCGCGACTCATGGACCGGCCCAAACACCTAAGCGACAGGCCAGAAGGGCGATCCAATCTCCGACCGGAAGGCCTCGCTGAGGAACAGCGCTCGCTTCTGACACCGGCCCGCCTCTCTGATCGGAAGGCCTGGCCAAAGAGGAACAACGCTCGCTTCTGACTTCGGCCCGCCTCTCCGACCGGAAGGACTAGCCAAACACCGCCTCCAACTCCGACCAGGGATGCACCGGACCCCTGCTTACAGCTCCTCTCCGACTGGCGCAGTCAGAGCCGACTGGAACCAACTGACCGGAGATACCCACTTGGTGAGGACCAGAAAACGGACGAAGCAAGTAAGGCAGGGCACTCAAGTCAACCGCGATACCGAAGACCGTACCCTGCACACCTGCAGAACAGTAACCGACAGGACATGTCAGAAGGATGTCCTGCAACCTTCTAGGGCATGACAGAACCCAAGTAGTGTTGTGGGCGTCGACATTTGCCCTACAGTGTTGTGGGCGCCATCAACTCCCATACCAGACAAATGCGGTAAGGCTCCCTCCACATGCCTCTGGACATCAACATTGTTGTGGACGTCGTCATCTACCATACATGGTGAATACGGTAAAACCTCCCATATACGTCTGACAACAACAGTGTTATGAGCGTCTACCGTCATCTTGTACCCGACGACGTGTGCAACAAGACTTAGTAGCATATGTACTCTCTCTCTCTCGCACTTGTAAGGCCATCCGCTTCATCTATAAAAAGGAGATACGCTCTCTCCCAATAGAGCCCAATCAATTCAACACACAACAACAGAACCACCAGGTTCAGATCTCGAGCACACGCTCGAACACTTAGCAAATAGCAGAGCTCCTGTCTCTCTCGGTCCTTCGTACTAAAGTCCGACCGGGCCTCTTGCACCCCCCATCTTACTCTCTTCCGTTTGTAATCTCACAACAAATTTCGAGCACCTGAGCTCAGAAATAAAGTCACCAACCGACTCAAACTGGACGTAGGGCACGTTGTCTGAACCAGTATAAACCCTATGTCATTGAGTGCTAGGCCACATCCGATCGCAACGTACAACAAAACTACAAATATTTACGTGTTGGTCACTTTCTGCACCGACAGTTGGAGTGTTTGTCCCAATCATCCAGATGACAACTTTATTCTTAAACCCTGATGAATGATGGTCATTATGCAGGCCTGGTGCAGGGAAGATGATGGTGATGCCAATGCTGTGCAGCTTATTGTTGGAAATAACACAGGTGTTTGTTTTGGCACCGGATGACTTGACTCCTCCAAACGCCCACAAGTCACTCCAGCGACAGCTTAGCCATTGACAAGGCTAGAACCTTCACCCCATTCGCCATGTCCTCCGGTGATGCATACTCCTCCGGCTTGTGGCTGTAACCTGAAAGGGACGGAAGGTTGAAGTAGCTATTCGTTTGCAAGTGGTTGCTTAGGTAAAATTGAAATGTTTTTACTCCTATATCACTAAAATTGAAATGTTATTGCTCCTACATCACCTAAAGGAACACAATTCTAGGATATATTTTTATTTAACACCTTCAATTATGATATGTATGCTATTATTTTGAGTGATTGAAAATAAGATGGAGCACAAACCTTTGTAACAGGGAATGAAGATCATACCCATTGGTGATACTCTGCAGATCGAAGACATAATTAGACATCACAGTTGATTAAGTGCTTGTATAATGATGCAAATCAGAAAGATATGTAACCTAGATCGCCAAAAAAAAGTAGGCAACTCCTACAAAACAACACTAACAGCTGAATCTCTTAACATTAAGCAGGCCTACATTGGGGAATCTCAATTGTTTGCCCGTGACCTCAGGTACAGTGTTCATCACAAGGGTTGGGATATAACTCAAATGAAAGGTGCTAAATTACCTCTTTGGCATAGAAGTGAACAAGAATACTTAGATCATGGTAAAACTGAATTGCCAAACTAAGACATCATAGTTATTTGATCCAATATTCTTCAAAATGCCCCCTGGTTTGGATTGCGAGATTAATAACCATGACCTAAACTTTTGCAGAAAGTCCCCAAGACATCATAGTTATTTTAATGCTGAGAACGTTCTAGCATTGCAATATGGGTCACTATCCTTTACTCCTTAGCTCATCATCGTGTTTATAATTTTTGGATGAAATTTTTCTGTAATCCATTCCGTTGTGACATGGGATGGGATGAGAAGGAATTCATGATATTTTACTTGAATAAGGTAGTCGCTAGGACAATTGCATGATTGTTCTCAAACAGAAAAAGGAAACAATTGCAAGAAACATAGGTTCAAGCTATCCTGAACTGATATAAACTTTTACCAGTGAGATATAAAGTTGAAATTACAAAACAAATTCCAGAAGGAATAGCCAGAATAGTGCGATAGATAGTTTAGACAAGTATGCCAAGTGTTTACTTTCTGCATGAGTGTTATGGAATCATAATCTAGTATTCTGAATCTTTTGAGATTGTTCAGTTCCATATCGTCACTTAATTTGTTATGTATAAAAGGGCTACTCTAATTCTATTTCCTGCGAAGCCACAGCTTTCAACAGTTTGTGACAGGAATTCTGTTGGAAATGATGGTGGCCCTGTATCGGTTGGACAGTTGAGGGGTTAATAGAATCAGAAAATGGAGCACTGACACATTCCGAGGTATTTCATCTTATAAACATTTATCTTTCTTTCCTGATGAAAAAAATCACTATCTATTTTTCCCATTTTGTTATGCTAACATGGGGACCTAAAACATCTAGTACTGTAGTACATACAGAGATTTCAATGCAGAAACTGACGGTTCTTTTTTCTAAAGGAATATTTAAGGATAATGTTCCAGTTTGAAATAAAAACAAGAACAATTCAGCAATGGGAAACATGAGCTGGGGCCAGTAATTCACCTGGCCATGAAGAGTGAATCGTGATAGGCTCTGCTAATCATGTTTTTGTACTCCAGGTTCAACTGTTTTGCAGCAAATTCCATTGCGTCAACGACTGATTTGTCAGATAGAGTCGGTGGGTCCTGGTTGACTATCTTAAATTCTGAAAGCTCTACTCCACGGCTCTTTGAAATCTGTGTTGCAGACCGGCGAATCTTCTCAATGACATCATTCCTTCTCTTCTCATCAATATCTCTTACATCTGCATCAAGGATACCATGACTTTATTAGTTGGTAAATCATCATATTTTCCTGAGAACAATCATATTTTATTTGAAAGGAAGTAGGCTCATACCAATTACTAGGTGTGATTTGCTTGGGATGGTACCGATTGCTCCTGGATGTAACTGCAGAATACCTGAAGAAGAATAGTTTAGTCAAATTAATCCGAGGTAACCATGTCTTGACAGTAAGCTTTCAAATGTTCAACTTTTCCTTTTTGAAAGAATCCATCTTCGGATGTTGGTTAGTAACTATCTCCATAAATATATATTTAATTTAAAATAGGACTCAAGTTGTCTAATTGAGTATCTGGCCTACAAATGGGATAAAATAAAACGTTAGGATTTAGAAAATCATGCTTAACAGACTCTTCACTAGCTAAAGAACAGAATACCTAAGTTGCATGCCTATTGACTTGGCTAAATATGATATGTTTTGTTTGGCATGGAGAGAAGATATAATCTAACAAGATAGGCACAGATTAAATTGCAGCGGGAAAACCACACACTTCATGTGGAAAACAATGTGCTGAGGAATATATATTTGGTCCGACTGTACGACATGATATTATGATGTCACAAGCATAATGGAATGATAGATTTGATGTAAAAAGCTAAATATGGTATATAAAACATACCAACGGTGCCAACAGTATCAATTGATCCTGATTCCAGGACGTGTTTCTCGACTGCTAATGCTAATTCAGCTGCTGCCAGTCCAGCATCGTTTCTGTAGAACGCTCCTTTTACATACATATATGGGGACATCCTTCACAAGAATGTAAATCGCAATAAAATGAATGAACATGCTAACCTTGCAGGCATAAGCACTGCTCCAGCATGACCCCCATTCCCTTCAAAGTCCACCTCAAGACTTGCAGGAGCAGCAATAGCAGTAACAATGCCAATAGGGATACCTATTGTAGGAGAAGACTTGTATACCATCAATTTGAAACTGCAAACATGTTAATTTACTGGGAACCTACCTTCCTTTTCTAAGATGGGACCCTGCTCAATGTGCAGTTCTATAAAAGCAGAGTACGTGTCTTTCTTTAGAAATACACTAGGCAGGTCCTCTAGATGCAACTTATAGCCAGCAGATTCTGCAGCATCCAAAAATGACACATTCTGATTGTCAACTACTTTTCTGAGGGATTGAGCTAGTTCTTCAATCCCTGCCATTAAGCGGCTGCATATTTTCAAAGGATCAAAAGATGAGAAGCCACAAATTAGAGCAATGCAGCCATTAGCTCAAGCGGAACTAATCTTATTGCTTAATGGTCCACCTTCCCAAACAGCCAATTCCAAATCGTGTAGGCTCCTCTGATGTAAACATGATAACCTCCAAAGACCTTTTTGGCAGGAAAGCAGACCTGTATGACACATGCAGGCCAAACAGGTAAGGTTTGTCTCAAGATGAAAAACAAAGTTAAGTCCAATATTTATATAGCCCGTATTATGACCTCAAAATGTGTGACAACATAGGCAAAACATGTAAGGTTGTGCCAGGTGAATAGTACAGATAGGTCAACCTTTTTTTATCAAACAGCAAAAGCTTGGCCGGTTCTATTGATCTGGTAACAATGTACTGAGTCTCCACAAGGATCCAAAGTAAATCAGTACATTGTCTAATATTTACATACCCTGACATTGGTCAACTCTTTTGTTAAAATTCAGAGTGGTGTAATGATGCCAATGTTCAACAGCAAGGTAGTTCACCGGTTCCTGATTATGCTTTGAACTAAGTATTTCAAGTCTAAAGCACATGTCTAATGTACGTGAGAATGAGATGAAGCACACAGCTTTTCTTTTGCCATTTCGTAAGTATCAAATGTATGCTTCCCAATACTTGGTTGCATCCCACAACTGGCAGAAGTGGGTCTTCAGTTGTCTACTAGGACGGTTACAAGAAAGAACAAGTCAATAAGCAGCTCTGTAATTTCACCAAATTAACAACCCTATACTAGCTGATTAAGCACGGTTCATCTGATTCCAATCACATCAGCCCTAGAAACATGACTGTATATAAGATGTAAGATGGTCAACAAACACTCAAGCCAGAAAAAGAGAGGGGAAAAAACAGCCACGTTACATATGGACAACACTACAACAGTAAAAGAATGCAATACAAAGGATCATCCTTGGTGCTGCAGGAATGGTGAAGACACTTATAGGCAGACAGAACTGTTACCTTTTCAGCAAACTAATCGCCTCAAGAGCACCCAGAACTCCAACAACACCGTCAAATTTGCCTGAGAATGGAATGGCATCAACATGAGATCCAGTTGCAACAGCCCCTAGTCCAGGCTCAGAACCCTCCCTGTAGAAGGTTGTAATGTTCAATGGGCATTATAATTCCAGCACATAGCAAATTTAACAAAATCCAGAGACTTTCCAGCCAGATGTACTATAACAGCAGAATCCTTGCATGCTTCCTAAACCCAGAGAAATGAACCAAGAGCAGAAAATCCAAAGGCTGTCAAAGACCAACTCACCAGCGGCCAAATATGTTACCAACAGCATCTTCCCGAACAGCAAGGCCAAGTTGATTCATTATCCCTTTTATATACCTAGACATCAGAATCACAAGCCAACAATCAGCAAAGGGGGATGTCCACTTTGTTAAATAAACTAACAGCTATCTGAACCCAGAATAATGCAAACTGAAGTTGATCGATCATTGCTGTGTACATCAAAGGTCTCTCAAGCGTGGCACGTTCTACGGCCAAAATCGATGACAAGCACACTCTTCAGAGGACTAATGCCCGAGTCGTTCTTTCGTCCACTCACGATTTTTTTTAATTTTAACCTTTTTTAATCTAATTTTAAATCTAACATTTTTTAGCCGCGCCTGTTGCTCTGACGCGGCCAAATGCCTGTGCCGCGCGGCGCGACAGCAGGTTGACATGACGACGAACGGAATCGCTGACCGCTAACGTGGCAGGACCTGCCGCGCCCCTAATTTTAGCGCGGCGGTGCCGCGCCCTGATCAGTGGCGCGGTGGAGACACGCCGTGATCGCCTGTTCCTGCCCTGCCCGCGCGGGGCTCGATGCGCTGCACCACGGCGCCCAAAGACACGCGAGAGACGCTACTGCGGCCTGCCGAGCACTGCTGCCTGCCAACGTGCTGCGTCCCACGGACTCACGGAGCAAGCGGAGGAAAGAGAAGGGGAAGCGAGCGAATCAATTCGAATCCATCTCGATCACGTAGAAGTAGCAATGTATTGTAGGATATGCTAGCTGCTCCTAGCTGCTAGCACGTCGTAGTACGATCGAGCGCCGCGGCTGCGTGTCGCGCACGCGCGCACCGCATGAACCACGCTGCCGTTGCCGTGCAAGGAGCACGGGTTTCTAGGCTTGTAGCAGTGCCCTTCTTCTGTCGGCGTCAGTCACCCTCGTTTTTTGTCCAAGGTCATCCCCGTCTGGCAAGCTTGACAAGCTCCGCTGCTGCCTGATGGTCTGCTCTTTCTCCTCTTTCTCTGTATGCATTCGTACGTTTTATTTTCCTTTTTCCGGAAGGGTACCCATTAATATTTATGATACATAATGATATTATTGAAAATATCTTTAAATTTAGTTTTTAATAAATTTATTTAAAAATATAAATATTGCATGTACTTTTTATAAATCGAATCTATAGGAAAATCAAAAGCGACAGATAATTTTCTTGCTGTGAGTCTGTGACTGGACGGACGGACGTGGGGGCCGTGTGAGCCACTCACGCATCGGCTGCCTATTGGACGGGCAGCCTCACGTCAGTCACCAGTGACCACTCACCCCTGTCTGCTGCTCTTTTGCCTTCGTTCCATGTTCACGGTACAAGTAAATCCTGCCTGTCAGCCAGTCACAGACTCAGATTGCGACTGCGCGTACTGTAGCACTGACCACGCCTTGTCCCATCGCTGCCCCACTCCGTCGCACTGTAGCACTGTACAACTGCTGGCTGGGTACAGTACTGTACGGTACAGAGGTACACGCAGCATACGTATCGTTTTCTTCGCCGAGAAAAGAGCCTACTGTACTATGCTCTGCTGTCCGCTCAGGGCTTGTTTAGATGAAATTTTTTTTGTAAAATAAGTTCCATAGCATTTTCGTTATTATTTGACAAATAGTGTCTAATCATAGTCTAATTAGGCTTAAAAGATTCGTCTAGTAGATTTCGTCTAAACTGTGTAATTAGTTTTATTTTTTATTTATATTTAATGCTTCATGCATCCAAAGATTCGATGTGACGAGAAATGTGAAAAATTTTGTAAAATTTTTTGCAAACCTCAGTCTGCAGCCTCCACTCAGCTGTCCTGAGCAGCGCGGCTCTGTGCCAGGCATATACCGTGCTCCGTGCTGGACAAAGGAAAACTCTGCAATACGTGCTCTGTTTCTTCTTTTTTTAAAAATACTAGTAATACAGTGTAGGAGTACTGTAGAAGCGACGATACAGTGTTCGGGGCTGACTGACGCACGAGTCATGAGCGAGCGCCGTGCTGGGCCCCATCTACAGCGTAAGGGTTCGTGACTTCGTGGTACAGAACGTGTACGACTGCCTCGTCTACCGGAGACTTGTCGTGAAACTGTGCAAGCGCCATAGCCATGGGATCCGTGCCGTGAGCCGTGGGGCATAAAAAGCGAGGATGGAAAGGCTCTCTCGGGACTTCCCCTGGCCTGCTCCAGGGAAGGCGAGGCGAGGCTTGTGTGCCAAGCCGGCCGACGGGACTTGTCAAGTTGGCATCGATCCGGTGCGCTTCGGAGTCAACCTGCCACTCTGCGCCTGCTCTGCCCATCGCTTAGCTCCCCACGGTCCTCTGCTCTGCTCCTGGCGCCGGACCGGCCCAATCGCAGCACACATATAGTACTCCGTATTTCCCGTTCTCTCTCTCTCTCCGTATTTCCCGGTCACGTAGACATCCTAGAGGCCAGACGGCGATGGGGGAGGCGTGCAGGTGCAGCAGGGCCAATCGGGCATGGCAGCGTGGTTCATGCGGGCGCGCGCGCGACAGGCAGCCGCGGCGCTCGTGCCCTGCGCGTCGCGACACAGGGACGGGAGAAGCGGAGCGGTGGTGCCAGAGCCAGACCCAGACGGCAAGCCGCAGGCGCGTCTCTCACGTCTTTGGGCGCCGTGGTGCAGCGCATCGAGACCCGCGCGGGCAGGCCAGAGCCAGGGGATCACGGCGTGTCTCTGCCGCGCCGCCGATCAGGACGCGGGACTGCCGCGCTAAGATTGGTGGCGCGGTAGGTCCTGCCATGTCAGTGATCAGCGATTTTGATCGTCGTCATGTCAGTCTGTTGCCGCGTCATCATGTATGGCGTGACACAGGCATTTAACCGCACCAAGACAATAGACATGGTCAAAAATATTAATTTAAAAAAACCAACAGTGTTAGATTTAAAATTAGATTAAAAAAAAGTTAAAATTAAAAAAAATTTGCTCTCACGACAAGCCTGTTCGCTTGCTCGTAAACGATTGTAAATTTCTAGCCAGGATCAGTGTTTCTCTCTCACACCAAATCAGCCAGCGATAAATAATCCACGATCCGATATGTCCTCGGAACAGCTATCAACTGCGTTACCTTCGAGCCTGCACATCGTTGTCGGTGTACAGAACGCGGGTCACGGACGGCGCGGGCGAGTCGGAGAACGAGGCCAGCTCAGCAATCTGCGAAAAAAAGCACACGCCGTTGGAAACAACACCTCGGCCTTGTTTAGTTTACATCAAAATTCCAAATTTTTTCACTCTCTCTCCATCACATCAATTTTTGGACGCTTGCATGGAGTATTAAATATAGGTAAAAAAAAAACTAATTACACAGTTTAGTTGAAAATCACGAGATGAATCTTTTGAGCCTAGTTGGTCCACGATTAGACAATATTTACCAAATAAGACGAAAGTGCTACTATTCATCGGGTTGAAATTATTCACAATCTAAACAAGGCCCTCGCTTCACAGCCATAGCCTGCACATCACGAACGCACCTGCCGCTGGAGGCCCTCGGAGTCGACGCGGAAGTCGCTGGAAGGGCCGCCGTCGCCGTCGTCGGAGGCCGGGAAGCCGGCGAACTGCTCCATCGTCCGCCGCGCCGCCGCGTCATCGTGGCCCGCGGCGGCGCTGATGCCGAGGAGGAACGCGAGGAGGACGAGGCGCGAGGTGGCGGTCGGCTTCGACGGCATGCTTCGTTTTCGGCTGGCTGCTCCTGC